ATTGCACATGAATGGTGTTTGTATGTGGTAGTAGCCCCAAGTCTCCATTCGTGCACTATGGTGGTTGCGTCTTGATAGCTATAAGGGTGCGGGAGATATGGGCTTGAAAGTGGTTGAAAGTGGAAGATTTTCTATTTCGATTTTAAAAATGTTCGAACCGTTTTAAATTTGAATTTGTATTCAAATTCGAATTGGTTCGATTATAGAACGATTGTAAACGTTCCAGAAAATTGATCAAATTGAAAATTGTTTGTTTGACTGGACGTAAAAATTCTCTAATTAGTCTGGAAACGGGGGACCTAATTCTTGCATTCTGTGAAAACGGGTAAGATTGGCTATAATGTAATTATCTTAATCTTCATTATCGTTACTTTTTGCCCAGCGAAGCGGGTCCTTCCAGGTAGTTATTTATAATTTAGAACATTTTTTGAGACTCAAATTTTAAAGTAGTTTAATTGTAGAAGTATTATATATAACTTCAAAAAATTATCCTTCAATCCAGAAACAATATATGGATATTTATTTCCTGGTATAGAAATGTGTTTAATTTTACATTATGTAATCCAGGGGTCACCAAACTTTTTCACAGTAGGCCAGATAACTGAGAGAATGATGAGTGTGGGCTGCATAACCATTTTGTTCAATATAGTATACTGAATACAAAAAATAAAGAAAACCGACATATTTATTTAACAATACACAAACAAGAATTCTGCAGCAAGCTCATAATTGCTTTTCTTAGAAACTTCATTGCACGTACTTACACAAAAAGCACTTGAAATATGCAAAGTCGCAAAAATCATCAAATATTTTATTTCACTGATTATCCTAAAAATTATAATACTGTCAAATGTAAAAATCAGATTGGACTAATTTTGGGATTTTTACATACATTTATTTTAATTTTTTCTACATAGTAAGTTCATCTACAGTCTGATATTTCCATATAAATAATTATATCTTAGCTCATTTGTGGCACAGTATGGTGGCAGGCCAGATGAACTGACCTCAAGGGCCATAGTTTGGTGACCCCTGACTTAATCCATTGTAAATGCTTAGGATATATGAGGCATATTCAGAAAGTAAAGATATGAAGCTAGTAGAAATCTAAGGAAATGTTTTTAATTTTGTTGCATTGCCATGACTTTTAGGGTGTGAGTCACTTGATTTTAATTGCATCATTGTTATACTTTCAGTGTGTTTAAAATGGCAGTGTCAATTTGTAATTCCACCAAGTGCAAGGTTTGTTCAGTGATTTGATTCCTTTGTGTTAAAGAATAAACTGCCACTGAAATTCTTATGGTGATGACATTATGAACAGGCAAAATATGACAAAATAGTGTCCTATTGCATGTAACACCCATCTTTATACTGCTTGCATCACATGAGTTGTTGCAGACATTCAAGTTGAAAATTTTGGAACATACATTGCACAGCCCAGATCTTGCAACAAGTGATTATCACTTGTTTCCAAAGTTGAAGGAACATCTCTCTGAAAAGAAGTTTTATGACCTGGTTACTGAGAGCAGGCAGATTTCTATGATGTTGGCATCAAGAAACTCATTTCTAGGCTTATCAAATGCATTGAGGTCCATGATGACTATGTTGAAAAATTAAAAAACATACATTCTAAAAGTATTATAAGTCAATCTAAAATTTAAATGTTTTATAAATATTTTCTGGACTTTGTACAGTAGAATCCCATATAATGCACTCCCATAAAATGCGAATTCGTATAATGTGATGAAAAAATTGAAACTAGTGCTCATACAGCATGATTAAACAGTCCCGTATAATGCGTAAGATAAATTTAACATTTTCACATAGTTTCTGATTTTTGTTTAGAAAAGTAAATATGAACAGTGAAACTGACAGTTTAAAAAAAGTAGCAGTTTATAAAAAAATAATAATGCATACACATTTAAAGATATAAGAGGAAGATAATTTTATTCAACTTTTAATAAAAATAAAAATATGCACTCCACTATTAAACATTTATTCACTATTTGAAGTATCAACAAATAGGTTCCAACAATGCTGTTTTGTTAATATTGGTTGTACAGATTCATCGCTTGAATAGTCCATAGTTTCATCTTGATTGTTATTGTTATTTAAAAACAGTTCTTTCTCCAGATCATTTTTAGATTGAAAATATGGGGATATATAATCATTCAATTTTCTTTTAAATTCTGTAAACTGCTCTATTGACGGATCAATTGTCATAAAATGTGTTTCTAATGTTTTGGCTATTTGTAATCCTTTATTTATATCTTCTAAACTCAAAAGGTTGCTTTGGCACATTAAAAGTCTGGACTGAGTTTTTCTCATCATTACTAGAATGAGAACAATTTGCTAATTCTATTGATTTGATTTCATCAATATCTTTATTGTAATTAATTAATTTGGTGATATCTGTCTCATTCATGTCAAGAAAACCCTCTCCACCAATATTTTGTCCAGCAGTTATTACATGATTTACATCTGTTTCTGATGGAGTTGGAGAATTTGCTGTAATAATGACATCTGGCCATAACTTTTTCCAGCAGGCATTGAGGGTCGAAGATTTCAGTTTTTTAAGAGACATGTTTATTATTTCTATGCAATTTAGTATTGAAAATTCTTTCCAAATTTGCGGAACCATTGCATTCGAATTACAATCAATTTTTTCTAAAATCATTTCAAATGTACGATGTAAATAAAAAGTTTTAAATGTTTGTATTATCCCTTGGTCCAATGGTTGAAGAATTGATGGTGTGTTGGATGGCAGACAAACCACTTTAACGTTAGGATGATTTAAATTTATAGGATGGCCTGGCGTGTTATCCATCAGTAACAAAACTTTAAAACTAATATTTTTTCATTGTAAATAATCTTCAACCTCCAATACAAAAGAGTTATAAAACCAATTTTGAAACATTTCGCATGTAATCTATGCTTTTTTATTGGCTCATCAGTAAACAGGAAGTGTTGATTTTTCTACGTTTTTCATTACACATGGATTTAATGTACAATTAATTAACATCAGCTTAGTTACATATTCTCCAGCTGCATTAGAACACAAAACCAAAGTTATTCTGTCTTTTTCATTTTTTGCAATATACAGTGGGTGATTGGTTAACGAACAAATCAGATAATGAACACTTTCGTGAAAAATTTTTATGATCGGACAACGAACACATGTTCGGATAATGAACACTTCACTGAATAAACACAAGAAGAAGCGACGTAAAATAATGAATACCGATTGGTCTTCCTTTGTCTTCAGACAACAATTCAAAACTTTTCGGAGTGCGGGAGACGTCGACATCGACATTCTACCCAGTATATACTGATCAGATAGTATTCTCCCGAACTTTGAAACTCTCCCTTGTAATTCCAGTCTTTTATATTTCTGACAGAAACAATTCTTTTACATTTTCTTCTGAAAATGCAGATTTATGCCGATATCTGCTATTAAAGATTTTTTGAAGAAGTGGGAGGATGTCAGAACAACAGTCTTAAATGGCATCCAAACCAGGTTGAGGTTAATAGGCCTAGGGATCTCTACATTACTTCTGAAAAATCATGAAGAAGACAGAAAAGCAATCGACATTGGACAGATTCTTTAACCCCCACAAACGGAAAAACGTGACTAATAAAAATGGAAGACCGTGTATATATATATTTTTATTATTACATATGAATAAACGTAGTAAGAAAGTATATATTTTTTATTTTTTGGGGGGTATCCGGAACAAATTAATCAAATTCCCATAGAAACCTATGGTAAATCGATAATCGGTTAACGAACAATTCGGATAGTGAACAAAGTCTTGGAACGGATTATGTTCGTTAACTGATCACCCACTGTATGTCCTGCCAGACATTTTTTTTCCAATGCAGAGCAAATTCATCAACATTATAGACTTGTTCTGCTATATAATTGCCCTCCTCTACAATTTTGGAAAAAATTTTGAGAAATCTTTGGTCTTCTTCTGTATTGGTTGATGCACTTTCTCCAACAATTCTCATATTATGCAAAGAAAATCTCTTCTTGAATCTGTCAAATCATCCTGTGCTGGCTTTAAATTTGGGTTTATTCAATTCTTTAGATGAAATGCTCTCAGAATCTTTTAAACATTGGTAAACCTTGAGTGTCTTTTGTTTTATGGCAACACTACATGTATATTTCTCGAGTAACTGTCTTTAAATTAATTAAAGAACTTTTTGTTGAGAGAGTTAATAATGAAAAAGATAAAGAAGCTTGTGATACTTTGCTGTGTATGATTTCATTCATTAATTTGTTTAGAGAACCTTTCAAAAGAAAGGTCACTTATTGCAAAAGTATGGAAGAAATTCTTCAGTATAAATATATATCTAAATATCTTAAATATTTCATTTAAACTTAAGATTTAATTCTTTATAATTTAATTATTTTAGTTTTCTGATTATAGGAATTTAAAAATTCATGTTTTGTGAAAACAAGTTTAAAATTTGAAGAAAATTTCAAATGATTGTAAAATGTAGTAAACTCTCAACATATTTCTTCTTGTAGGCTATTGCCAGAATCTGGAAATTTTAATCTTTCCTTTAACTAAACTTCTGTCAGAACTATTAACTTAATGCAGTTAACTTTCATAACAGTAAAAAATTGTAAATTAACCCTGTTGTTTCCTTGATTGTAGAAATTTAATGAATTTAGTACCTTATTTTTGTCACTTTGAAACTTTTTGTGAATTTTAATGATCTTTTTTACAATATTTGTTTATTAAACTCCTACAGTCTAAGATGTGAATAAGTGAAAACTTTGTAAAATTGATAATGTAATTTATACTGTGACTTCAATCTTTTTAATTTTTGATAAGTGTGTATTCTGAATGCTTGACTAATATTTTTCAGTATTATTTTGGTGTTACTGTAAGAGAAGTAGATTGGTTGTTTTATATGTACATAAGTTATTTATTTAAAATTGAATGCATTAAATAATTTAAAATTATTATTTTAACAAGTTATTTTTTCAGTGGTGGAATCAATTGTCTCGTCTACAACGTTATGTTATCTGTATCTTTGTTTTGTTCACATCATTATCAATCTTAGTTTTTCTACCATTGTTGTCGGAAATATCTTCAAAAAAACACTCAGCCATTCCTTATGATCCAAACAGTCCTTCCCATAACTCAAATAAATTGGTGAATTCCAAGGGAAACCAAATATTCATTCCTTCCATTGAACACAGAGAAAATGTCAATGTACAGGTATTTATTTATAACATAAAATAATTTTGCTAATATTTAAAAATTACTGACATTTTATATTTTGTTTGTGTAGATTGATGAGAAATCTATAAATCAAATTGTTCCTCCTATAGATATTAGAGAATCAAGTAAGTATTCTAATTCAACTCTATAAAACTTCATTAAAATATTATAAGATGATGATAATTATTTTATAGATCAGATAAATGAAAAACAGAAAGCTGTTGTTAGAGCATTTAAACATGCATGGAAAGCATACAAAGAATATGCTTGGGGACAAGATCATCTAAAACCAATTAGTAAATCTTATCATAATTGGTATGGTGTGGGTTTAACATTAATTGATTCATTAGATATGATGTATATGATGGATCTAAGGGAAGGTGAGTATTTTATAAGATTATTCAAAATTTATAACTATAATAATTAAAGAATTAATTTTTTTCCATTTTAGAATTTGAAGAAGCCAAACAGTGGGTCCAAGAAAAATTAGATTTTAATATCAACAAAGATGTCAATTTGTTTGAAACAACTATACGTATCTTTGGTGGTCTACTCGGTGCATATCACTTAAGCAAAGAAAAGATATTTTTGGATAAAGCAGTAAATATATCTAAAAATAAAATTCATTAGGAAAATTTTGTTATAAGGAAGACTTCAATTATTGATTTTTTTTTTTACTGAATTTTGTATTAGATTGATCTTGCTGATAGACTTCTTCCATGCTTTAATTCTCCTTCCGGAATCCCATATTCAGATATTAATTTGAAGACAGGTCATGCACATGCTCCTACTTGGGGACAAGATAGTTCAGTTTCTGAAGTTTCAGCAATACAGTTAGAATTTAAGGATCTTAGCAGGATTGTGGGAAATTCCAAATATGAGGTAATCATGAAAAATCCTTTCACATTTTATCATTTTTATCATATATTCTCTATAAATATTGAAAATATTTAATAGGTTCCAGTATCTAAAGTGTCAAAATTACTCCATACATTACCAAAAAAGGATGGCTTGGTACCAATGTTTATTAATGCAGAAACTGGACAGTTTCGAAGTTTGTCTACCCTCACATTAGGTGCACGAGCTGATAGTTACTATGAATATCTACTTAAGCAGTGGATCCAGACAGGAAGAACTGAAAATTGGTATGCATAATTTGATTTTAAAAAATTGTGTTAAAAAAAGTATAATGATGAATCAAATTTAATAAAATGATTTTAGGTTAAAAGAAGATTATTTGCAAGCAGTTGGAGGAATTAGTAAACATTTACTACGTTATTCAGAACCAAATCGATTGGCATTCATTGGGGAATTATTAAATGGACATAATTTTAGTCCAAAAATGGTAAAGTTTCTATAATAAAATAAATTTGAATTTAAATTAAATGCTACATACAAGCAACAAATGTTTGTTTTAGGACCATCTGGTATGCTATTTACCTGGAACATTAGCACTAGGATATCATTATGGGTTGCCTTCTTCACATTTCCAATTAGCTCTTGATCTCATGCAAACATGTTATCAAATGTATGCACAGACTGCAACATTTCTTAGTCCAGAAATAGTATATTTTAATTTACAACCACAAGGAAGCAGTGATATAATTATCAAGGTGAGTTAATTTTTTTTCATTTCAAATTTATTTCTGGAATACTCTTATATTAGAACTTTTGTATATTTTAGAGTAATGATGCACATAATCTCTTGCGTCCAGAAACTGTTGAAAGTCTTTGGTATCTCTATCACTTCACACACAATGAAACATATAGAGAATGGGGATGGAAGATATTTCAAGCCTTTGAAAAATATACAAAAGTTAAAGATGGTGGCTACACAACTATTAGTGATGTCCGCAATCCGCTTATGGTAAAACCTAGAGATATGATGGAAAGTTTTTTCTTAGGGGAAACCTTAAAATATTTTTATTTATTATTCAGTGACAATCAAAATCAATATTCTCTAGATAAATATGTTTACAATACAGAAGCTCACCCCCTTCCAATCTATTCCCAAGATGACAAAAAATCATTGCAAACTCATTTATAAAAAATGTTTATATATATGTAATATATATATAAATTCTGTTTTTGTGATCCAGACTGAATTGTGGTGCTAAGTCAAGAAGACTTGAAACTGTCAAGTTTGGACAATAAAGATTTAAATGTACAGATTCAACCTGTATATGATGTAAAAATAAATGTGCCTTGTGTACAAGAAAACTGAAAACAAATGGAGTTAAACCCCATTTATTAATAATAAAAGCCATTATCTTCTTTGAAAATTCCGGTCTTGATACTGTTTTCAACCCTCACTATTTAAAAATATAACATTACACATTAAATTGGTTTGACAAGTGATGAATCTATCTCATAAATAATTATAATCATGTTGTAATGGAAAATTGTTCCTATTGACAGCTAAAAATTCAGGAAAAATGTTTCATTTTGTCGTTTTAAAATTGGTATATAAAAATGAACAAGTGTGAAAATAATATAAAAATTTGTTGTTTTTGAAGAACAAATAAGGACAAATTTTACAGAAATTATATTTAAAAAAAATTGGCATTGAAACTATTTTAATCACAGTAAATAAGTAAATTTCACCTTTTAAGCAAGTTTCTGGTTTATATTTGATGTTAAAAATATTGTAGCCATTTATATAGATTGTAAATTTATTTCTTACACGATATGTATTTTATACAATTTAATGTATCAATATATTGTAAATGTTTTAATGTGTTAAATGTATGATAAATTGTTGTTAAGAAGTATTGATTTCTTAATAATTAATCTGAAAACAAATAAAAAACAGTAAAAAGTGTTTTTTATTTTTACTGTTAAAATAAAAATTATTACAACTATTAGTGATGTCCGCAATCCGCTTATGGTAAAACCTATTATAAATTTTAGATTTTATGTGACTTTTTAATTTTAACCTATAAATTTTATTAACCTTTATAAAAGTACAATTATTGTGTGCCATTCTTCTAAGGATAGATCATTTTGTTTAGAATTTCAGTATTTGCTTAATTACAAACTTAATGTACTGTGTGCTATATGTATATGGGGTAGCCCAAAAGTCAGTTAATTGTTGTAAAAATTGAATTATAATTAACTACAGATGTATTTTTTTGTCGTTGTTGTTAATTTATTTTTTATCGGGTTTATACCAATATTGTAAACTTAATTTGTTTCATATTCACTAATGAACCTGAAACACACATTGTTAACTAATTTTTGGGTCATTCTTTATAATATTGATAATAAAAATTACTGGTATTGGAATATTAATATTCTCTATTAATTTCTGATTTGGTTAAGTCTAAGAATTGTTATTATAAAGTTTTTATTTAATAAGGAATATTTTAGAAAGAAATGTATTTCAAGTAGCTTCAAATTTTTTGATAGACTCTGGAACTTAACTATTTATCTTTTGCTGTTATTTTAATACATTTGGAAATATATTTTATCTAAAATATTTCATAGATTTTATCAGAAATCACATGAAAAAAATGAGTAAATATAATTTGATTAAACAGTTGTATTTATTGGCTTTTTTGATTATAATATAATTCATTGGATGAATTTAGCTATAATGTTATCAAATGATTTTTGAAAATATTAGAAGCTACATGTAGCATACTTTTAATGTTATTGCTTAAATAATTGAAAACTACCAGCAATAGCTAATTAAATTAATTTAGCAGAATTTTGGGCTTTTATCCAATGTGTTCAGTCATTTGAATTCATCANCTAATTTTTATTTTGCATTAAAATTTAGACTAGATTATAAAATTTTAGACTATTTTATCAATTAAAGCCAAAGTCATTATTTACTTAACTTCATTGGTCACTTTATTAGTAGCAGATTGTTTATAATGAATTGATGATTTTTTTTAATTATCTCAATATTAACATGAGAATTCAAAACATGAAAAATACATTTCCCTACATGCATTTTCCCATATTTTGTAGGAGAGCTAAATTTTAAGATTAACAAATATATTACAAAAATATATTCTTTTAGCCTTCAAATATACATATTTTAAGGCTAAAAAAAGTGTTAAGGCTCTTACTTTGTATTTATGAAACATTATAGCTAATTTATAAAAGAAAATTTATTTAGAATAATCAACCAAAAATTAAAAAGGGCTAAAAATTGAAAGTACTGTACACAACTAAAGTATGTCAAAAAAGGGAATATAAAAAAAAATCTTTGAGTAATTACTTTAATGTTGAAATAAAAACTTTTATGGAGCTGTTAAATATTTTTGTTCTAAGATTGATACTTTCATTCAAGAATTGCCATAATGAAGTTGAAAGTAAAGAAAAATGCCACTGATGAGATCAAATTGTTTGAGTTTACACCAGTCAAGAAAATGGTTGTATTATTACAGATATGATTAAAAATAATAACAATAGACAGCACAGTGCAGAAATGGTAAAAGTGCTAGCTTGCTACTTTATATATCCAGTTTGGAGTCTGGTTAGTCTTCAAAATTTTTTATAGGTGATTTGACTTAGTTGTGTGCCCTATTTATTCCCACTTATAACTGCATCTATCAAATAATGATTTGCTACAGAGCTTTTAACTCATGAAAATGTTTCTCTCAAAGAAATTCATGCAAGATCAATTGCAGTTTATGGTACTGGAATTATGGACAAAGCCAATGATTCAGTAATATGACAGCCTAGACCAGGGGTGGCCAACAGTTTTTGCCCCAGGGCCGAATTGGAAAGAAAACTTTTTTCATGGGCCGCTTATGGTAAAACCTAGAGATATGATGGAAAGTTTTTTCTTAGGGAAAACCTTAAAATATTTTTATTTATTATTATTTATTTATTATTATTGTAGAGATTACAGATACATTTTTCACATTATCATGCTTTATCAACACTTTATGCTATACTTAAGAGATTTGTAATAGAGGGTTAACTCCAAACGCACAGAGTTGTTGACCTTTTTTTTTTTTTTAGGCATCAGAATTTTTCATCGATCTGTTCAGACTTCAGTACCTAATATTGAAAGATTGATCACGGGCCACATAAATTCATTAGACAGGCCATATGTTGGCCTTGCCTGGCCTAGACCCAATATCAGTGTTTTCATATCAAAAGCTGTACAGAGTTCTTGACCACTCTCCTTACAGATCAGATTTGGTGCTCTCAGACTTCTGGTTGTTTCCTATTTGTAAGAGACAGGCCAAAGAAATTTATTTCACACGTGATGAAGATTTTCAAGCTGTTGCAAGGAAAATGGTTTCAAGAACAGTCTGAAGATTTCTACACAGACAGGTTTGAAATTTATTAAACATAGGCATATCTGTATCAAATATGAAGGAGACTACATAGAGAAATGAAATGTGTTAATTAAATTAGAAATACTGAACTTTGTACCTGTTTTGAACTAAATCTCTGGTCCCATAACAGTATAGGCTGACACTTTGCCTCAGCCATCTTATGATAAGACTTGATAATCCTTTGTTAAAAGACAGTTTATTTAACTAAGATAAATTACACAGTCCTCTTTTTTTCCAATAGGAGTTACTCATTATAATATGATATCAATCAGTCATTTACAAAGGAGATACAAAAACTTTAAAGATAACATAATTACATACAATATAATAACCATCATTATGGTATACAGTGGTGATATCACAGAGGTTTGGCTGAACCCGTTGTTAACATTTTCAAAGTTTTCCGAACCTTGTTAAACACACGTAACATTTCTCAGTGGTTTTGTTTCTTTTAAAAAATATATTAAAATATACGTTGTTTTCGAAACCGTGTTTTGCGAATATATTGGACTTCGAACTCACATTTGAGTTATAAATAAACACTTGGCTTTATTTCCATCATTTTAGTTCAACTAAAATGATGGAAATAAAGCCAAGTGTTTATTTATAACTCAAATGTGAGTTTGAAGTCTAAAATATACGTATTATCAGTGGTGATATTCGAAATATTTAACAAAGGGTTCGCTAACAAACTTTTTCCTTAACCTAACCCCAAGCCCGAGATATCTCGGGCAAGTTACATAGCGTTACATAAAACTCGGGCGTTTGGTCCCCCTAAAAGTTTTGCTCCCCTTTCCAGAT